CCTCCTGCCTCCCCCACCTTCCCCAAGATAACAGCAACGCAATCTTTTTTCCCACTTTATGCTCCCCGACTTCTCTGATCAAGGCAACTCGCCAGGGCAAACTTGCTGGACGGGCTGGTGTGGATGCGCGGGGCTTGAAGAGATCCTTGCGGGCTAAGACGGCATGCAAAAATCCGCCGCCGCGCTTGTGCGGCATTGGTTTGTTCAGTGAACGTGGTTTGGGTCGCGGGTGGGTCGCGGGCTCTCCACCTCCACCTGGATGGAATGCAAAAGCAGCCCGCCTCAGGCGCCAAAAAGATTGGTTTGTACACTGAACGTGGTTTGGGTCGCGGGGGGGCCGCGGGTTCTCCACCGAGAACGAATGCAAAAAAAGCCAGCCGCAGGCGCTGAAATATTTGGTTTGTACCCTGAACGTGGTCGCGGGTGGGCCGCGGTCTTTCCACTTGAAGCGACTGCAAAAGCAGCCCGCCGCAGGCGCCGAAACATAGGGTTTGTACCCTGACCGTGGTTTGGGTCGCGGCTTGGTCGCAAGTTGGTCACGGGGTGGGTCGCGGGCTCTCCACCTGGAAGGAAAGCAAAAAAAAACTCGCCGCAGGCGCCGAAAATTGTGGTTTGTACCTTGAACGTGGTTTGGGTCGAAGGTGGGTCGCGGGTGGGTCGCGGGGTGGGTCGCGGGTGGGTCGCGGGTGGGTCGCGGGTGGGTCGCGGGTGGGTCGCGGGGTGGGCCGCGGGCGGGTCGCGGGGTGGGTCGCGGGTGGGTCGCGGGGTGGGTCGCGGGGTGGGTCGCGGGGTGGGTCGCGGGGTGGGTCGCGGGTGGGTCGCGGGTGGGTCGCGGGGGGTCGCGGTGGGTCGCGGGTTTGGTCGCGGGTGGGTCGCGGGGCGGGTTGTGGGTGGGACGACGACAACAAACAACAACAAACAACAACAAACAACAACAACAACAACAACAACAACAGGAATCCGCACCGCAGAATTCCACTTCAGCCACGCACCCAGGGACAGTGAATGACCGTTCGGCCCCCTCACTCTGACATGTATGTATGTATGTATGTATGTATGTATGTATGTATGCATGTATGTATGTATGTATGTATGTATGTATGTATGTATGCAGGCAGGCAGGCAGGCAGGCAGGCAGACAGACAGGCAGGCATGTATGTATGTATGTATGTATGCATACATATATGTATGTATATATGTATGTATGCATGAATGAATGTATGTATGTATGTATGTATGTATGTATGTATGTATGTATGTATGTATGTACACATGCATGTATGTATGTATGTATGTATGTATGTATCTATGTATGTATGTATGTAGGTATCTATCTATGTATGTATGTATGCATGCATGCATGCATGCATGCATGTATGTATGTATGTATGTATGTATGTATGTATGTATATATGTATGTATGTATGCATGAATGAATGTATGTATGTATGTATGTATGTATGTATGTATGTATGTATGTATGTATGTACACATGCATGTATGCATGTATGTATGTATGTATGTATCTATGTATGTATGTATGTAGGTATCTATCTATGTATGTATGTATGCATGCATGCATGCATGCATGCATGCATGTATGTATGTATGTATGTATGTATGTATGTATGTATGTATGTATGTATGTATGTATGTATGTATGTGTGTGTGTATATATATAATGTATAGGTATCGGAGTAGGCCGGGGGAGGGCCCAGAACCACGACCACTGGTTTGCATGGCGGTTTGGGGGGGCCTTGAGGGCTCCAAGAGGGCCCAGAAGGGGCCCCAGACCTCTCCAGAGGCCCCCAAGCTTGCCCACGCGGCTCCCAAAACGCCCCAGGTTGTCTGGAAGATAGCTGCCGAGCGCGCTGAGATGGCCTCAAGACGGCCCACGAGCGCTCGAAGACGGCCCAAGACTGCTCCTAGACGGCCACAAAGGCCCTCAATAGAGGCAAACTCTGCCCCAGACGGCCCAAGAGGCCTCCGTGCGCAAATGGACTGCCTCCTAAAAACTTGCTCCCCCATGCGCCTCCCCCTTCCCCCCACACACACCATACATGCAAGTATGGAGACCTTCCCGAGTGGGCCAGATGGCCTGAAGAGTTTCAAGCAGCACAAAAGAGTGCCAAGATGGCCCAAGAGAGTACCCAGAGTGGCCCGAGGGGGCCACAGGATCCCTACATGGTTGGAAAGGGCCCCAAGAGGGCCCCAAGACGGGCTCAGCTCCCCATGACGGGCCAGGAGGGGCCCAGGCCGGCCGAAATGGGCCCCCAGACGGGCCCAAAAAGGCCCAAAAGGAGTCCCTCAAGACGGTCCAAGAGGCCGCCGAGAAGGCCCCCCAAGGGCAAAAATCAAGCATTTCCGATGGAAGAGCGTATCTTTCTAGGATATTCGCTTTTTTCAATCCTATGAGCGGCCGCGACGGCCCCAAAGGTTGCCAAAATCGGCACCAGACGGCCCGAGAGGCCCCCAAGAGGGCCCCAAGACGACTTGACGAGAGCTTCAAGCAGCACAAGAGAGTGCCAAGACGGCCCAAGAGAGTCCCCAGGGGGCCCGAGGGGGCCACCGGAGGATCCTTGCATGGTCGGAGGGGGCCCGAAGAGGGCGTCAAGGCGGGCTCAGCTCCCCATGACGGACCAAGAGGGACCCACGCAGTACACATTCGCAGCGAGAGATGGGTTCGCCCTTCATTCCGTTGTGAATTTCAACGATGGTGATTTCGATAGCATGCTTGACTTTAGTCTCATGTATTTAGTAGTGGCAGGAGACCATGGGGGCCAGCCGTGTACAGTGTACAGGGGTGATGGTTTGGTCTTCGTGCGTCCACCATGGACACTTGCGTCGTGGGGGGAAACAGACGGCCCAAGAGGCACCCAGGACCGCCCAACGCGGCCGAAGAGAGCGCCAACAGGGCCCCGCGGGGGAAATTCGAACCCACATTTCGAGGCCTCCGCCCTAGGAGGACCCCGACGATAGCCAGCAGGCCCCCAGGATGCCCCAAGACGGCTCCAAGAGAACCCTCAAGAGAACCCGAAGAGACAAAATCGCCCCGTTCCCTTGGGAAAGCGTACATTTCTATCGCAGTCGTTGTTTTCATATGCCCGCGTCCAAGACGGGCCCAGAAGCCCCTAGGAAAGCCCCCCAACGGCCGAAGAGGTCCCCCAGATGGCTTCCAGACGGCCCAAGTGGGTCCCAAGACGGCCCAAGAGGCACCCAGGACCGCCCAAGAAGGTCCCAAGAGGGGCTCGTGTGGGGGGGGAATGCGAACCCATATTTCGAGGCCTCCGCCCCAAGAGGACCCCGAAGATCGCCAGCAGGCCCCCAAAGTCCCCCACCCGAGAGGACCCAAGAGGGCCACAAGAGGCTCCCAAAAAGCTTCGAAAAGCGCCCCAAGAGGCTTCACCATTGTTTCCAACAGGCTGCCCAGAGGTTTCCCCAGAGACGCGAACAGGCATCCACGAAGTCTCACACCAACAACCCAGGCTCGGTGGCAGGCTGTGCAGAAGGCCACCAGGAGGGGCACACGTGGACGAGGTGCACGGATGCCCCTCCTTTTTGTTTATTCCTCCTGCTGTTCGTCTTTAAGGAATTCACTTCTCCTTCGTCATGCTCCGGGACTCTTCTCCCCCTCGACCTCCAAACCGCCTCCCTCGTTCTCTTAGTCGTCCTCCTGGAGTCCCCCGTGCTCAGGGAAGGGCTCTCCACTACGTGCTTCCACAGCGTAATCGGGCTAAAGTCATATCCGCAGCCGTCGCCCAGCCCTCGGCATCTCACTGCGCGCTGGGATTCCTGAGATCCTGAGCGTGCGCGAAGCGCGCTTGATGGTTCTAGAGTGTGTATAGATATGTGTGTATATATATGCATATATATATATATGTGTGTATATATATATATATATATATATATATTGGCCTCCGTGGTCAGGCCAGGAGGGCGTATACACCGCTCCTGGGCCCAGGATGGGCTTGACCAGGGGCAGTGGATACGTATTGACCTCGTCGCCATATCTTGGCATCCCAGGATGCATGCACTGTCCAGTGACAGCGTTCTTGGAGTCGACTAGCGCGCGCACGGTTCTGGTCGGACCCAGACGGCCCAAGACGGCCCAAGTCGCCCTAAGGTGATCCGAAGACGGCCCCACACGCGTCGGGCTTGCTAGAACCTGAGCGAGCGCGAAGTGCGGACGATGGTGCTTGTGTGTATATATCTAAACAGACGCACATGCACGCACAACAATACACACACGCACACGTACTTACATGCATACATACGCACATGCATACACATGCAGACATGCACATACAAACATATGGTTGTGCATACATGTGCACATACATACATGCATGCATACATGCACAATCACAAGCATACATACACACCTTCACACATACGCCCACACATCCATACAAACATGCATACTCACATAAGCACGCATACGTACATACATACACTCATACATGCGTGCATGCATACATACATGCGCACATACATACATACATACATACATACATACATACATACATACGTACAAACACACGTGCATGTACATTCACCTACACCCAGACATACGCACACGTACACACATGCATACCAACACACCTACATACATACACGCATACACATGCGTGCATGCATACATACATACCCGCATACATACACACATGCATACATGTATACACATACACTCATACACACATACACATACACGCTTGCACACATACGCACATACAGACATGCACACGTCCACACATCCATACATTCATACATACATACATACAAACATACATACTTACATACCCAATTACTTACATACACACATACATTCTTACATAGTCAATTACTTACATACGAACGTGCATCCCTGAAGACATATGTACATGCGTGCGTACACATTAATCTATACATGGGGAGAGATATAGAGAACGAGAGAGAGAGAGAGAGAAGGAGAGAGAGCGTGTTTGTTTAAATATATGTGTATGCTTTTCCACGTTTTCGTATTGGCCCAAGCTGGATGAAACATGGGGCTTGCCCCCCATCCTCAAGAAAAAGCCCTTGCCGTTCAGCCAGCCCTGGCCTCAGCCTGAGCTGTACGACAGGCTTGCTGCTGCCTTGCATGGCGCCGCCGAAGCCCACATCCTTCTTCGGGACCATCGTCTTGCTCGTGGCGTCCAGCCAGCACATGTGTTCGGCTGTTTCTTCCAGCGACATGGTGGAGAAAACCTTCGTGGGCCCCGACGGGGCGCTCACTATCGAGCCACACGGTGGCAAGGCCCTCATTCGACGGGCGGGTTCTTCGAGCCGACTTGTGGGCGCCGCCGAGGAACCTGGCGAGGGCCTCCCGCCGGTGCCCCCTGGCAAGTACAAGATATTCACCTACTGGAACTACCCAAACGGTGCCGACGCCTTCGTCGCCCTCAACGTGGATACCTGGCGCAGGCACGCGCCGCCTGGCACGGAGGTCGTTATGGTGAACGAGTCGAACTACCGCGACTACATCCCGGACGCCCCGCCCGAGCTCTGGCGCCTGCCGTACGACGCCTGCAAGTCCGACATGGTGAGGGCCGCCGTGCTGTACCACCACGGGGGGCTGTACACCTCTGCTGCGCGCAAGAGTGATCCTTCGCCGGAGTGACCTTCGGTGCGCGGCCTTCGGGGGGCGCGTGGGGGGCCAATCCCAATCACGCGGGCCGCCACTGTCGCATCGCACGGGGCCGTCGGCAGACCGCGCACCAAGGGTCACTCATGCTCAGGGTCACCCTCTGCGTGCAGCCGGTGCATGGACACCGATTTCGTAGTCACCAGGTCCCTGGATGGGGTGTTCGCGCGGCTGGAGCGGGGCGAGGATGTTGTGGCTCACAGCGACTCCGAGATCTCGGCGGCCGGCGCCAGCGGCCCCTGCGACCTGGCGTCTGGAGGCTTCTCGTCCAACTTCATGGCGGCCCGCCAGCACAACGCCTTCAGCCGCACCTGGTGGGAGAACATCCAGCACAAGCTGACGCGCACTTGCGGCGAGGGCGAGTACGACACGGAGAAGGTGTGCTGCCACGAGGCCTTCTCCCCAGAGGTGGAGCAGGGCCCCTGCCACGTCCCGTGGGCCCACCTGGAGTGGCTCAAGGCGCCCCTCAGCAAAGACCCGGACATCGAGGAAGAAACAACTACCCCAGCATCAACTTTCGAAGGTCCGTGCGGATTTCTTGGATCGGCGCTGGACCCCCCTCCCTGGCGCGCGGAGCGCGCCATGGGCGGCGCCAGCGGCGCCGTCTTGGTCCAGCGCCAATCCAAAGATCTGCGCGGACGCTCGAAAATTTATGCCCATGCAGTTTTTTGGTCCTCCAGGACAGCTGGGGAGCGCCCAAGCCAGACCCGACCAGGCACCAGAGGAGGGTACGCAGCGCCGAGGACGAGGAGCTGTCCGCGCTGCTGCGCGTCGCCGGCAACGCGACCAGCGTGCTGGCCGCCGTGGCGCTGGGCAACCGGGCCTCGGCGCAGGTGCCCGACGGCACGCGGGTATTCTGCATGCGCGGGGCCGAGGGCATGGCCATCCCGAATGGCGAGGTGTTCTGGCAGCCCTGGGACAGGGAGGCATCCGCGACGAAGAAGGTCGGGGCGGCGCGCACTGGGAGTTGGCGGACGAAGAGCGGCAGACTGTTTCTACCTGCCGCTGCCAGGGACGCCTGTCCCAGGGCGGCTGGGAAGTGTATATCCCGACGCTGCACCGTAGTGGCACTCCGGATTTCACCACCCCACCATTAATGGGGGGGGGTCTGATGTGGGAGGGTGGTCTGATTTGAGCTGTCTTGGTGGAGGGTTCTGGTGGGTCTGGGCAAAAGGCCGCCCTTTCATGGCTGGTTTGGGTTAAGTCAAGTCAATAACGCCGTGTCTGCACGACACATCGGCTGAAGAAGTGCCAGCGGCTGGAGGCGCACGTCCATACCACGGCACAGACAAGCAATGAATTTTCAGGACAAGGCGTGCCTTCTGGCGATTGTCTTCCACACTTGCTGGCTATAGTTCGCAGGACTGAGAAATTGAGTCAAATCAGATTCCTGAGGGGCGTGGGGAGGGAAAGGAGGAGGACGAGGACAGGGAGGGGGGAGGCCCTGAAAGGGCGTGCGCTCTGACCACTGCGCCCCATGTCAGACGGGGTCGGCCTCTCCGCCTTGGCGCATTCAGGCGGACAGGCTCAACGGTTCCAGGGGGGTCAGAAATTACTCGTCTGGGAGGGTTGTGACCCCCACCCTTTTAATGTGAAATCCGGATTATCAACTTTCCAGCCGCCCTTTTGACAGGCGTCGCCGATGGCGCAAGGGTTTTGTCTTGTACCCTTCCTTGTCCACTGATGGGTGAGGGCGAGAGCCGCGAACCCTTCTCAGAGGGCAGGAGGGGGTTCTTGCCTGGCCCCCACCTGCAAACGTCATGCAACTCCCTTCCCGCGATCCCCAGACCCCCCCTGGTGCAACAAGATCATCCCCGACCATCCAACAGCCTCATCGATCCCCCTCGCTCCTCCTCTTCGCTCCTCCTCCATCGCCCTCCAGCGCTGAATTACTGCTGCTGCGGCCAGCTGTAGATGCCCTCCTGCCTTCTTCTGAGGCAGGAGGGCTTCTACAATCGGTTCTGTGATGATGCCGCTGCTGCTGCTGGTGGTGATGGTGGTGATGATGATGATGATGATGGTGGTGATGATGCTGACGATGATGATGATGACGATGATGATGATGACGATGATGATGATGATGATGATGATGATGATGATGATGATGATGATGATGATGATGATGATGATGATGATGATGATGATGATGATGATGATGATGATGATGATGCTGATGCTGATGCTGATGCTGAGATGCTGAATGAGGAGAGGAGGATGAGAGGAGGAGGAGGAGGAGGAGGAGGAGGAGGAGGAGCGGAGGAGGAGGAGGAGGACGAGGAGGAGGAGGAGGAGGAGGAGGAGGAGGAGGAGGAGGAGGAAAAGGAGAAAGAAGAGCGAGGCTATCGCACCCAGGCGTCTAGCCACACTTTGACTGGCAGTGGTCCTGGGCTGTCTTTCCCGTCCAGCTCCCCCACGCCGTCCGACACGAGGGTGGCGGCTCAGAAGATGGGGCCGACTCAGAAGCCTCCGATCCTCTCTAAGAAGGCCCCTGCCCTTCCAGAAGGCCGCCACCCCGCCCTAACCTCCCCTCTGGCGCGCCGCCGAGAAGGTGCACGCGCAGATGCCGGCGATGGAGTTCTTCGACGCGAGGTTCGCTTGCAGGTTGCACGGGGAGGACCTCGTCTGCAGCAACGGCGATTGGGGGAAGAACCGCAAGGCTCGGAGGGCGCTAACCATGCATGGGGCACTCAAGTCGACGAGCAAACACATTCATAAACATAACTTTTTTGAAATCCGTGCGGACCTTCGAACGCTGATGCTGTTGTAGTTCTTTCTTCCTCGATGTCTGGGTCTTTGCTGAGGGGCGCCTCGAGCCCCTCCAGGTGTGCACACGGGACGTGACAGGGAGGGGGTCTAGCGCCGAAAGTCAGAGGAGCGAGAGGTCATGATAATGATTCCAGGATTTTGAAGGTTTCCAGGATTTCCCGATTGCCCTTATGTTTCGTACTGGTTGCGCCGCTGGATGCCCTGGAAATCCTGGAACCTATCTTGAGCCAATCTTATCCGCCCTAAAAAGTTTCTGTATGCTTATGCCGTCTTGTCTCCGCCCCACTGCATGCGGTCAGGCCGAGTCGCCCGTCTAGCTGTCAACCATTCGAACGGTTCCAGCAGAGGACCTCCGCCTGGTCGCTGCAGGGTCGCTTGCGTCGCCCTCCCCTGAGCCCGCTGCCCCGCCCCAGCAGGAGGACGCCAGCCAGCCAGCCAGCCTCCTCCTCCTCCTCCTCCTCCTCCTCCTCCCCGTTCTTCCCCCCTCCCCCCCTCATCCTCCATCTCCCCCTCCTCCCTCCCCCTCCCTTCTCCATACCCTCCCCTCTTCTCCTACTCCCTCCCTCACCCGCCCTGCCCTCCTTCCTCCTCCCCCTCCTCCCTCTTTCCTCCTTCCTCCCTCCTCCTCTATCATTCTCCTCCTCCTTCTTCTCTTCCTCCTCCTCGTCGTCGTCCTCCTCCTCCCCCTCCTCCTCTTCCTCCTCCTCCTCCTCCTCCTCCTCCTCTCGATCCTCCCTCTTCCCTTCCTCCTCCCTCCACTCGTTTGTCATATGAATAGTTTCCCCCTGTCGCATCCCGAGGCCAGGTTTGTGGGCGGACAGGGCGTTTCGCTTGAGACTTTCTCACCATTTATGACCCTATAGCGTAAACGTTGGCAACAGTTTCACAGATGGTGGGCGGGCCGTTTTCGAAATGTGGCTCTCGCCTGAGCGCCGAAATTGCAAGAGTTCCTCGGATTGAGGGCGGGTCGTATTCAACATGTGGCTGTCGCCTCAGCGCAGCGCGTATTCGCATTTTACAAAATAGCAAGAGTTTCACGGATTGAGGACGGGCCGTTTTCAACATGTGGCTCTCGCCTTAGCGCCGCGCGCATTCGTTTTCACATGTTTGCAAGAGTTTCACGGATTGAGGGCGGGCCGTTTTCAATGCGGCTCTCGCCTGACCGCCGCGTATATTCTTTTCAAACATTTGCAAGAGTTTCACGGATTGAGGGCGGTTCCTTTTCAATCTGTGGCTCTCGCCTTAGCGCCGCTCACATTGGTTTTAAACAGTTGCAAGAATTTCACGGGTTCCCAAGATCAGCGTACCAAAGTTGGCGTTCTGAAAGGGTTCCGGATTATGAGGGTGCAGCAGTTAGGTTGATTGGCGATGTTGAAGTCCCAGGAATGGCGTTGTGACACGATTCAGGATCGCCAAGACGCAACAGTCAGGTTGATCCCTGGGTTGGAATCCCGAGAACAATGTTTTGGCATGCTTCAGGGTCTTCAACGGTTGTTCTGCAACGAGGCAGTTCCATCAGTGAAATTGAACCCTTGTAGGGGCTTTTGAAGAGGGAGCTTGGAGGGAGGGTTCATTCCAACATCGTTGGTGACTCTTGGGTTTACACTGGTCCTCTGTCCTCCTCCTCCTCCTCCTCCTCCTCCTCCTCCTCCTCCTCCTCCCCGTCTTCCCTCCTCCCTCTTCCTCCTCCCCCCCCTGGGAGTCCGGAGGCTGCCTGGCTGCACTGGAGATTGGCGCGTAACGGCATGTTCGGGTCGTGTTTCGACGCGGCGGCGAACATCGCCACTGGCCCTGTACCTGGCCGGTATATCAAGCTGCTGCTGCTGATGCTGCTGGAGAATGGCGATGAAGATGCACATGAAGATGCCGATGAAGGTAATGCCGCTGCTGCTGCTGATGATGATGATGCTGATACTGACACTGATGCTGATGGTGATGATGCTGATGCTGATGATGTTAATGATTATGGCGATGATGGTGATGATGCCTATGATGATGCTGATGATGATGACGATGGTGGTGATGACGATGATGACGATGATGCTGCTGCTGCTGATGATTCGGATGCTGATGCTGATGCTGCTGCTGATGATGCTGACAATGCTGATGATGATGCTGATGATGATGGTGAGGATGATGTTGCTGATGATGATGCTGATGATAATGACGATGATGCTGCTGATGATGATGGTGGTGGTGGTGATGATGATGCTGATGCTGATGCGGATGCTGATGCTGATGATCTTGATGATGAAGATGATGATGATGATGATGGTGGTGGTGGTGGTGGCGGTGAGGATGCTGATGATGCATATGATGATGATGATGATGATGATGATGATGATGATCATGATGATGATGCTGATGCTGATGCTGATGCTGATGATGATGCTGCTGATGCTGATGATGTTGGTATACTGACACTGGTGCTGATGGTGATGCTGCAGATGCTGATGCTGATGATGACTATGGCGATGATGGTGACGATGCCTATGATGATGCTGCTGATGATGACGATGGTGGTGATAATGATGAGGATGATGATGCTGCTGCTGATGATGATGCTGATGCTGATGCTGCTGGTGCTGATGATGATGCTGATGCTGATGCTGATGCTGATGCTGATGCTGATGGTGATGATGATGATGATGATGATGATGATGATGGTGATGATGATGACGACGATGATGATGATGACGATGCTGATGATGATGATGGTGATTATGATGATGCAGATGATGATGATGATGATGATGATGATGATGATGATGATGATGATGATGATGATGATGATGATGATGTGATGCTGATGCTGCTGATGATGCTGATGATGATGATGATGATGATGGTGGTGGTGGTGGTGGTGGTGCTGCTGCTGCTGCTGCTGCTGATGATGATGATGATGATGATGATGATGATGATGATGATGATGCTGATTGGGGTCCTCCTTATCCTCCTCATCTCCCTGCGCGATGTGGGATAGCCGCGACCGCTGAGGGTCGAGCGACCCACGCGGTGTCGTAAGCCAGGGCGCACAGGCCGTCCTGGCACGAGCCTGCCGTGCGCGGCCCCTGACCAGTGATGGGGGGGCGTGCACACACTCGGCGATTCCCAGGACGTGCGGGGGCAACGTTCGAGGACTTCTGCCTGGAGGTTCGAAGTTTGAGGTTTTCGGACGTTTTCGTTGGCTCTGGGCCGCTTGCCAGCCTCGGGGATGCGTTGCAGCGGCTGCGCCTCGTTGAGAGTCTGGGCGTGCCGGGATCGTCCAGAATGGCCGCCGGAGGCCCGAGTTATGAAAGCCAGGGGGTATTGTCAGGAGGGATAGGCTCGGGGGGGGATGCATCACTCCCCAATCGTCCATACATCGCCGACAGGGGCCTGATAGCCCAACCCGCCCAGGAACGTCAGGCTTTGCTATGGGGGGCCTATCGCCGATCTATCGGCGATATGCCAACGATTCCACCCCCTCTCTGAGCTGGTTCCCCCTGACCTTGCCCCTCAAGCGTGTGTTGGGCAAATGTGTGCGGTTACCCCGCGCAGCTCCGACGACAGCATTCAGCCTATGTCGGGCCTCGTTGCTCCCCCTACGTCGTCTGCGTCGTGTCGAAGGGCTTCGGTGGACGAGCGCACGCCCTGAGGATCAACAATTCAGCAGAGGCAATTTTGATTCGACCGACCCGATTCGATGCTGATTTTGGCCCGCTCGATCCGATCAGATTCAGATACTCTGACGATCCAATGCGGCCCGATGCTTGCACGGTGCTGTTGTGCATCCTGGCGCGATTCGACCCGATTTTCCGATTCGATGCTGACCGATCTTGACCAGCACTGACCCTAGTTAGGATGCAACTCCTTGGAGGTTAACTTCGGCCTCGGCGCTGGTATCTCTGGCCGAAAGCCGGCCAAATCCAGCTTGATCCCGCTCACTGGTGCTCAGCCTGGACTCATCGTGCTTGATCCGGGGCTCAGTCGGGCTTCATTTGGCTTCGTGGCCCCGACATCTGGCTCGATAGCCCTGCTCCGTTTCCGCCAGGACCTCCCGGGAGCTGCCCCCAGACCCACGGGCCCAGGCCAGGGCAGGCCCACGGAGAGGCAGTGAGGCAAGGAGGCAACGACGGCCACGGAGTTCTCCGAACGCTGCCGCTTCCCCCAGGGAGGCCCGATCGGGCCCCCCCGGGGGGAGTAGACCAGAACACAAAATCAGGGGCCGAGGTCCCGCAGGGCAGGAGGGAGGGAAGCAGGAGGGGACTGAGCATCACTCGGAGAGGCCCCCGCCGCCTCCTCAGAGGGCCGCCACGCCGTCGGGGGGGCTCGCTCTCTCGGGGGCCCCCGCACGGTGGGCTCGCGCGGTGCGGCGTGCCTTTCTTTGTGAGGCCGCGGGCGCAGAGGTGAAGGAGCGGCCGGGCGCTGGTCGGGCTGAAGGCGGGGCGCGCCATGAGCTGAGTGGGGCACAGCGGGACAGGGAGGTACGGAACGGGGGAGAGGACAGAGCCGCTCAGATCGTGTAGACCTTTTGGCGGTGCGGTGAGCACACGGCGTGGTGAGTCAGCTGGTGTGCGGGTGACCGTACGGGGTTGGGACGCGGGTCGCTCCTCGAGGGTGTCTCGGGCGATATGGGGGCCTCCGAGGACGGTGACGGACCGTCTGGCGAGGTCTTGAGGAGCTCCCAGGTCACCGCACGGTCTGGCACCGCACGGTTTTGGGAACCCCACTTCACCCCGAGGTCTTCCCGGCCTTCTTCAAGCGCACCGCCCACCACCTCTTCTTCTCCACCCAGCCGAAGAAGAAGAACACTGACATGACCATGAATTTTCGCAGATCCGTTCGGACTTTTCTGATCGCCGCTGTACCCTCCCTCCCTGGCTCGCGGAGCGCGCCAGGGGCGGCGTCGCAGGCGCCAGGGAGGGGGATTCCAGCGCCGATCCAAGAAATCCACGCGGACCCCCCGAAATATTGTGCTTATGCAGGCTTTTCTTCTTTGAGCCCAGAGGCCCGACATCAGGGACAGGCGGGCGATCCTGAGCGGGGACTGGCTTTTGAGCGAGATTTACCGCAGAAGCCTCGGCGAGTGAGATGCCCGCGAGAAAACGAACGCAGCAACAGCTGGCTTCTTGTCCTCGAGGCAGCTGGCGCTGTTTTGCTTGTCTCCTCCCTCCCCTCTTCCCTCCTGTCCTCTCCTCTTCTCCCTCTCCCTCCCCCTGGCCACCCTCTTGCAGCAGGCTCTTGCAACAGGTTTCATCACCAATCCCTCCCGATTATCTCTTGCAGGCTGGCCTGTCTGGCGTTCCCGGTTTGCCTGGCTGCTTCTTGATTCGCAGTTTGGGTGACACCAGGGGGGATTGAACGTGCAGTTGGCATGCGCTAGAAAAGGTGGGTTGTAGGCCAGATGTATGTCTGACATGCGTGTGGCAGCTGCTGTTGTATCATGATGTACGGTGTTAAACCATATTCTTGTGTCGAGGGGAGGGAGAAACGCATGCCAATATTAATTTCCCTTCCAGGACGCCATGGAAGGGAGGTGTATGCCTACCAAGTAGAGTGGCAGCCTCTGGTTCACAACGATTCGTTTGACCGCAGCCCGCCGGAGTAACTTATGTGTCGTGTTCTCTCACGGCCTTGGGCGCTTTGGGTCCGCCTCGTCTGTTTGGTCTCGGTCTGTCTGGTCTCTTACAATTCCTGTCTATCTCGTCCGTGTGGACTGTCTGGTGTGCTTAGTTTGGTCTGGTTCGTCTGTTCTGTCTGCCTCCATGCCGTCCTCTCTCTTGCCTTTCTTCCATCCCGTGCTGCTGCTGCTGCTCTTCCGCCTCCTATTTCATGCCCCTTCTCCTTCACCCCTCTTGTCAATCACTCTTCGTCGTCGCAGCACCGGGCGTGTCGGTGGGGCGGGCTGGGCGTTTCGCCTGAGACGCCCTCGCCGCTCAGTTTTCACAATGTGGCTCTCGCTCAGCGCCGCGCGCATTCCTTTTACAAGGCTTCCAGGGGTTGCAAGGATGGTGGGCGGCTTCCCGTGCACAATGACCCTTGCACGGATGGAGGGCGGCTCCTTTGCACAACGCAGCTACCATTAGACACTTCCGTCCACCTCTTCGCGTTTCATCGTTCGAAAGGTGTATTACATTTCTTTTTCAAAATGGGACTCGCCGGAATGGCAGCGCCCATGGGGCCCTTGTCTTTCAGGGAGGTGCTTCCCGTAGTGAAAGGAGAAGCTGCAGGGATGAATGGGGAGGGGATTTCAGCTGGGGAGGTGCGTTGCAGCATCATTGCGATCCAACTGGGCCAAAATATCCAGTGGCTTTCGGCCCCTCCCGCCACCATGTCCTGAGGGGCTGTTGGGGTCGGTCGCCATGGCAGGGAGAGATCCCGCGCTTCAGCGACAGCAGAGCACAATGCCTGGCAGCTTTCGCCAGGGCTCCTTCGCTTGCGGGTCTCCTTGGGTGCCCGCGCGTTTTTGGAAAGCAGGTGCCTCCCAGGAGGCCGACCGTCCACCAGATTAGCTCTCTGGCTTTCTTACCGCCTGAGCAGTGCTTGACTCCTCTCCCTCTTACGCTTCCGCCCGCCGCTCCCCCGTCCCTCCTCAACTCCCTCCTCGTCCTCCTCCTCCTCCTCCTCCTCCTTCCCCTTCTTTCCCTTCCCCCCTCCTCCTCCCCACTCCCCCTTTACGCTTCCTCCCCCCTCTCCCTTCCTTCCGCTTATTCTTTCCCCCTTAACTATCCCACTGGTCCCCCCTCGGCCCTACCCCACCCCCTGTCCTCCACTCCTCCCCTCTCGCAATTCCGCTGGCCGCCCTGCGATCAACCGACGTGGCGCCCCCAGCAAACAAGATCGTCGCCGGCCTCGAGGCAGCCGAAGCCAGGGTTGGCGGGGTTGGGGCCGCCTCCTCCTCCTCCTCATCTCCTCCTCCTCTTCCTCTCCTCCTCCTCCGCCTCCTCCTCCTCCTCCCCCTCCTCCTCCACCTCCCCCTCCTCCTCCTCCTCCTCCTCCTCCTCCTCCTCCTCCTCCTCCTCCTCCTTCCATGTCCCCAATAATGCAGGACGGAGGGACGAGGAGGATGAGAGGAAAAAAGGGTGGGAGGGTGTGCTAGTGGTAGTCGTAGTCGTAGTCCTAGCAGTGGCAGCAGCAGTAGTAGTAGTAGTAGTAGTAGTCGTAGTCGTAGTCGTAGTCGTAGTCGTAGTCGTAGTCG